AAATTTAAGTAGACTTAAATAAACTTGATCATAATGAATTAAATTATTACCTGAAACAGTAACTAGGCCAATCCGTTGACTAAATTGAAATGATGTGTCATTAAGACCTTGGCGGTTAAGTTGCGAACCATATTTAGTTTTAATTTGATCAAGCAAATCGTCAACTATATTATCAGCCTGATTGGTGTCCACTTAAATTTATTTTAAAACATTTATTAGTAACCTTTGTTATATAATATTATTTTATACACTTACATGCGAAACAGTGTGCTACTATTAAAAGTACCAGTATAATTATTTTAATAAACATGCTTATTGAATTTTATGTTTCAATATTAAATTAAATTGGTTTATAAAACAATTTATTATTTTTGTTTGTTAATAATGTTCAATCTTTATATACAAAAATAATAAGACTAATAAAACTTTATTATCCAATTTATAAAGTGCATTGTTGACTCAAAAAATATTTTTCATAAGAATAAATATTAAGTTTACTGTTTCCCAACATTTATTACCAATGCAATTTATTTTCACCCTAACTGTAAATGATTTTATTTATTACAAAAAATAATTTATAATTCATTAGAAAATTAACGAGAATTATTTGTTTACGATTCTTGAAATCATAGAAATTAATCATTTATAACCTGATAAAATTTTATCAGATTTCCACAATCTTGATCATACTGTATTATTTACTGTAAATCAAAAAGAATTAAAGCAGTTTATTTTGAAAATAATAAAATAATATGCTCATAAATAACTTAATTATATAACGTAATAAAATTTTTATATTAGTTCCTGCTAATTTAATGTAATAAATAATTTAATCACAAGGTGTGTATTAATAAAACCACTTAATTATACTAATAAAAACTTTTATTTTAACAAATATTATGGTATACTAATATAATTTTGTATGTAACATAAAATAATTTATTTAGCATTGTCAATAATTTATTAAACTAATCACTAAATCACTTAATGAATTATTAATTATTTTCAATTATCAATAGGTATTGTAATATTTCGCAACTCCTTATCAACCAGGTCCCTGAGTATCCAGCTAATCAGACCCCTGGCCACCGGATTAAATATCTCGATAAACACATCACCGAAAACATCAATGACTTCATCCAACTGCTCGATAGAGCCCTTGAAGTCGACCCTAACGTCTGTCAGCTCATCCACCGTAAAGTCCTTGATGTGAAACCTACCGGTGCTGTCAGCCTCGACATTAACAACAACTCCTATGTCGCCCACATCTGCACCTAATATGCCCGATGTCTTTATGCCCATAACATCCAGGTCACATTTATACTGCACATGTAGTCCAGTGTCGCCGAATTGCAAATTAATCTGACCTTGTTCAATGTCCAGTGTACTATCACCCGATCGTCGTAAGGTTTTTAGTCCCGTTATTATGCCCTCGCTTAATCTTGCTTCACCTAGGTTAATAAAAAAAATAATAAAAATAAAATACCACTTTCACCTTACGTTCCCCGGCTTTAAAACATATAAAAAGATTATAATTAAATTAAAAATTTGTAGTTTATATGTACAGCTTATATAAAAATATTTACATTTTATTAATTACATTTAATTAATATTACCGTGTACTGTAATGTGACTAAGTTGCCTATCATAAGTAGCCACGGTGTCATTTAAGTGTAATGGATCCAGCTGAGCCCCGTACTTGGCCACTACAATAGCCAGTAATTGATCCACTAACTTATTATCAGCAGCCCTGTCATGGGAACCTGATGAATTAACAAAATATAATAAAAATGTGGTTGTTATAATAATTTTCCAGTTTTAATAAATATACCACAATCCAATGAGCAAACACTACAAACAGTTACAATAAGGTTATAAAATATTAATTTCAACATTGTTGAATTAATAAAAATTTAATATTTTACTCTACATTTTAGTCGACCAGAATACATGTTTATCATTTAAAAATAATTTATTTAATAAAAATTCCCTAGTGACTTTTAGATTAAAAATCACATGCGATAATAAGTGCCTTTGATAACAAGTTAGTATTGATAAATATGACAATATTTTGTTTTATATAATCTTTTTACAGCTAATTAAACTGAGATTACATCCAAGCTCATTAAGTCTCATATTATTTATCAAGTACAATACTTGACATTGTCCCACTAATACTGTAGATAATTACATTTTAATTCAGTATTTTCTATGTTTAGTTGTTATTAAAGTTAGCCTGTGACAATAAAAACTTAAATCTTAACGTGTATACTTAAATTTAATTATATTTACAAATGTGTTTAAATAAAATTTATATTGCATTAAAAATATGAAATATAATCTTTGTTATTTATCCAAAACCGTAATTTCCAACTAAAAATCTAACTCATTTCCCATGTACTAAAAACTATTTAATAGATGACTTTACATTTTAATTGTAGTAACTAATCCGAAAAAAATTATATGTCAACAAAATCGTACCAAATTAAAGTAAATACATTTTATTAAAAATAAAATAAACATTGTATTTGTCTTGAAATGGTTACGTTTATTAAGCAAATACAAACAATTTATATTAGTGCACATAGCTGACTACATTACTGGGGGTAGGAAGTGCATGTTGTCAAGTACCTTTTGAACCATGTCCTTCACCACTTTACCGATCATATTCTCAGCTTGCTTGGTAAAAACACTGATAAATGACTCGGCCACTAAATCAATAACCCAATCGGCAATCGGGATGGGTCCATGAAAATCAACCTTGACATTTTCGAGTTCATCCAGCTCGAACGAGTTTATGGTGACTATGCCCGATTTGGTGTCCACGGCAACGTCCACCTTGATGTCCAGGGTGCCCACCTGGGCGTCCAGTACGCCGGACGTGTCGAAGTCCATGAAGTCGAGGATCCCCGTAAAGTGGATACCGATGTCGTTGTCGCCAAACTGGACGCGCGCTTTGAAGGTATCCTCGGTCTGGATGTCTGAAGGACCCGACCTCTTGATGTTCTTCATGCCGGTGATGGTGCCCTCGCTCAGTTTGACGTTACCTATGGGTTAGTGTATGGCACATACCATATGTTTATTTAATTTGAAATAATATTTAGAAAATATATTAAAATGTAATACAAATGGTTCACACATTTTAGGTGCTACAAAACTAATATGTGATATAGTGCACATCGAAAATTAATTAATTGAAATTATTAATAAATATAATGTCACATATATTAGGAATAGGTATAAATTATAATAACCGTAAAGGTTAATATACCGTGTACTACAAATAAAATTTATAGTTTAAATCTAACGTTTGCTTTTATTTATTTTAAATATATGCGATACTGCTAAACATTTTATTTACTAACCGTTAAATGTAATACCAAGGATTGTCTTGCTGAATTCAAGCACGGAATCGTTCAAATGAAGGTTGTCCAGTTGGTCACCGTATTTGGCCTTGACAATTTCAAGCATTTCGTCGACAAATCTGTCGGCACCCTCGTCATTCACTAAACATGTAAATTATTAATAATAATAATAATAATAAATAAAATATTGGTAGTTTAAAAATATTATTACATGGCAGGCATTGGGCGACAGCGACTAAGACCAAGATCAAAATTTTCGACAACATTCTCGTTGCTATACTTTGTATATTGCAAGGGATGTTAAAAATAATTAAAATTTTTATAAATATTATTTTATGTTAATATTAAATAGTTCACCTTAATGCTGTAAATCAAAATTAAATGTATAATTGTTGCACACACTTATGCTTACTTATATAGTTTTCATGACCAACGTAAATTTTGATACGCTATTAGGTACCGAAAAATAAAATAAAAAATCATCTTATGTTGCAAGATAAAACAAAATATTTCGCTATAATTGATGTAGATTAATTAATTATGTTTTGCCCGAAAGCATATATGTATCGATACAAGTGCAATGTGTATGACATTCCAATAATTTATTGCCTAGCTCCTTTAGCTGTTGAGAAATTTGCACTGTTATCTACATTTGATGATATACATGGTGCAACCCATATTTATCTAATCAAAAGTTATGCCAGAACATTTTAGATATGAACATTGCCCTAAAGCATATAATTTATATACATTAATATTCTATATAATCAATTATCTCTGTGCACTATACATGGGATATGCATTATCTCACGTGATAAGTAATTTAAAACCATGCTAATTTTTAGCACTACATTTAGATAAAAAATATTGCATTGTACTTTACACGATGTGGACACGAGTATAAAACTTAATTGACATTTAAAACCTAAAATTTGGTATTTAAAGCATAGAATTCATACAAACATTTCATATAATAAACAGCTTTTTATTGAGTTTTTATTAAATCTTTTGTTACAGTTTAGCGTAAATATGTTGAAAGCAATCGTTTTATTATTCGTAATAAATCTTCACTCAATTGTTTGTAATAACGACCCGACAATTGACGTAAAGACCAGCTCAGGTGTAGTCAGAGGAAAGGTGGTCACACTCTATAACCACACTGTCGATCAGTTTTCGGGTATACCCTACGCTCGGCCACCATTAGGTGCCCTCAGATTCTCAAAACCAGAGCCCATCGAAACGCCAGCGAAGGTATAGAAACCATAACTAGAATCCTATATATCTGTATGTTTTTATACGAAAGAGATCACTGAACTCTGCTTAAATATAATTGTTCATTAATGTTTAAACATTATAACAATCATATATAAACAAGGTTCGTGGTCTCTTTTGTATAAAACATATATATATTTTAAAATAATTTCTACATAAACCTTATATTTAATAGCATGTCATCGACTGTACAGCCATTAAGGACTCGTGTATGCAGCATGACTTGACTGGTATGCTGAAAATGAGCGAGGACTGTCTGTTTGTGGACGTGTGGGCCCCTCATAATGGAACAGGTGGTGGTGCCCTAAAGCCGGTCATGTTCTGGATATACGGGGGTAACCTCACGAGTGGCTCCGTAACATTGCCCACATATGACGGCGCTTTGCTTACGGCATACGACGTGGTGATTGTGTCCACAAACTATAGGTTAGGCGCCTTTGGTTTCCTATACG